ATCCAACATATCTGAAAATTTCACGGAAAAATATGCGTAACTTTCCTCAAAAAGAATGTTTTATCCAGAGAAATTTTGCAACTATCGAAGGTTCATACGGCGTCTTTCCTTAGCACGGCAGCTTAGGTGGTTATATTCGCAGTCGTTCTTACAAAAGGACTACATTTTGCAATTAGAAACTGACATTTCAGGCTCATATTCGACACAAAGTATGTGCTATTACTGTTACTGCGCAGACAAATTCTGCTGCTCCTTCTTTTTATACCACTCCTTCATGTTTATCTTCACATTCTTCTTCCTTCATTGTCAAAGGGTGAGATCCCACTCCAGTGTGCAAAGAAACCGAATCGAGTGATACAATTATTTTAACTCCCGTACAGCTCAAATTGCATACCAATATATTGAAGGCTTTTCCGATTATTCATAGACAACACTGGAAAAAAGAAACACATTGGATCTAGAGTCCAGACTCTTAAAAACATTGACAAGAAAAAATACTCTTGATTCAAGCAGAATTAAGCTTAAATCAAAAGGAAATCCGCTTTAATTAAGAGGCTTGGTTTTTGATTTAAGCTTAAATCTGATTGAATCAAGAGTATTTTTTCCTGTCGATATTTTTAAGAGTCTGGACTCTAGATCCAATGTGTTTCTTTTTTTCCAATGAAGAATGATGATGCGATGTGGTAAAAATGGTTACATTTGTTAGTGATCTTGGATCTCTTAGCGAACTAGGAGAATTCTTGACATTTCCAACTGAAAATTTCGCTCGTTTTTCTTTCGATCTCGTGCGAAAATTGGACCGGTACGTTATTATAAAAAATTGAAATTTTTAAGTAAATTTTGCAACCCTGGAAGACAGATAGGCCCCTGAATCTCGGTAAGATCCGAACATCGTTTACACGCCTTGTCCAATCCTCCCCATCGATTCGCCTCCTAGTGCGTCATCGACTTCGCGCTTAAGCCGCATTGCTAGATGGCGCCAAAAATTATCAGCTCACCCATTAAAACGCCCGACCAAATCCCGCTGGAACGGGAACAAATATTCGGTCGCGCGAAGCAACATCCCGAGCGATCGATATCAAAACCTCGTAAGTCCATCGCAGTATGGACCGCGGCACGTGAGTATCCTTACGGACTCTGGTGGTCTCCGAAAAAAGGACTTACTCGGTTTTTCGACGACCAGATTCTTGGCTCGGCGCAAGGACAAGGATCGTTTGTCAGTTCGGCCATTAGAGCCTCGCAACACCCGCCGAGCCTCGCAACACCCGCCGAGCCTCGCAGAAACGGCACATGAGCATAGTCGGCTCCGTTGCAGTTACGTGGTTCTTCATCGGAGAGGAATTAGGATGGTTTGAGACCTTAAGTGGGAATTGAGAGACGAAGCTTCCGGAAGAGTTATAGCTATCGATACTTAATAAACCGAGGGCTCATCTTGTTGAATCTTTTCCACGCTTTATGCAGGTTTCCTTCGTGATGTTTCTTTTCCGTCTTCCTTTTCCTCTCCCCCCTTTTTCTTTCTACCTCTCTTTATCCCTCAATCTCTCTCTTGCCTTGCCGTTCCTTGAATTACATGATTCGTTAAATGGGTGATTGGACTGAATTTTGCAATTCGGAACTAAAATTTCTGACTCATTTTAGAAACAACTTATGGACTACATTTTGCAATTAGGAGCTATGAATTCTGGCCCAGTTTAAAAATAACGTATGTACCAATAGTTTCCCTATGCTCATAAGTGTTTTTTCTGGTGAGCAAGAAATTGTAGTTCCAAACTGCAAAATGTAGTCCATAGGTGCCATTGGTTTCCCTATCTACACATAATTTTTATGTAGATAAGCCAGAAATTGTAGTTCTGAATTGCAAAATGATTCCAATTCAATCGATCGATTTGATTCATTCGAGGGATTTATCTCAAAATCGGTTTTTTATTTATTTTTGGCAAGGGATTTGTTTTTCATTTTATTTTTTTCCTTTCGAGTAAGTTTTTGGAACTTTTTGATGATTATTAGTCTTAGTGGACCTTGGGAATTCATCAAAGGTTTTTGCCTATCTTATACTCGATTAAAAGGACGTCAATTTCCTCGACCGGATTTTTTGCCCGAAAAATATTTTTGAAGGTTTTTGTAGTTTATGCAATACCTACGTTGCGCAATGATTCTTAGCGCAGTAGTTCCCATTCGATCGTGATTGTGAAGCCAGTTGATCCTCCAGCCAATATATCTCGCGATTTTCACTGAACGTCAATGAAAGTCACTGAAAAGTATCATAAAAGTACTGATTTTTTTTGCGCATGAGGTACTGAATTCTTTGGCAAGGTACTGATGAAGTACTGTAAAAGTACTTGATATTTGCCAGCCAGTTTCAGTGGACACCCTATTTATGCGACACAGGAATGCCGATACGGAAAGTTGACCGTTTGCAAAACGCCTTCAATTTCGGCGTGATACCGCTCGCATTCCGGAGAGTGCGAATAGTTGTATCCTTGCGCCTTGGCAATGCGACGCGACGGATCAACAATCAACTTAAAGGTATACCGAAGACAGTGGCGTGGCGTGAATTGCGATGTATCGATTGTTCTGCCATCTAAACCTATGGTAAAGAATCGATTATTAAGGTGTTCGCTGCGAACACCCTGTTTATCGATCCTTTCTTATAGGTTTAAATGGTATAATCGATGTATCGCAAAGCACGCCACGCCACTGACCGAAGAGGTACTGAATTTTTCTTCTTATGAGGTATTGAATTTTTAAGAGAGGTACTGAAATAGTACTGTGCTCTTGTCCTTCTCTTCTTGTTTTCCTGTTACTTCTTCGTATTTTTCCTCCTCATCTTCCTCTTTTACAAATGTACTCACCCCTAAAAAATCGAATTTCCTGCAGCACTTTCCCTGTCGCCAAGAATCGCGCCTCTCCAAAAAAAAAAGGAGCTGTCCCGTGACTTATGACCAAAAACGAGGGTTCTGGTTCCCTCATCCATAAAAGCGTCATCCCGTCAGTGCGATTATAAGGCCAAACTATGACCATTCCGCTGCGAACGAGCTAATAACGTCGCCAACACAACGCAACGTGGCATGCGTCGACGGCCGGGAAGAACCGCGCAACCGCGCTAGGGTTTTGTAGTGCACTTAGGCGGTTCTGGACGAGGCGGGCGGCGTATATCGACGATTGTTACGAGGGCAATAAAAGGAAACGAGCGGGAAACCGGGCATTAGAGAGGAGGAATAAAAATTAAACAAAACGACGTCTAACGATGACGATGACAATCCGGATGATCAATTAAAACGCTTCGGGGTTGCGAGTTTCACGGACTTTCAAAATTCCCGCGTTGAACCGAAAAGAATTCCTTCCCAATGTCGAATCCTTGATTTCCCACTCTCATTTCGTTAAGTTTTTCATTCAACAGGGTGTCCACGAAAACAAGACCAGCGTGGAAGCTACTTCAATATGAATCTTCCATCGCTTTGATAAGGCGCAAGGATACAACTATTCGTACTCTCCGGAATGCGTGCGGTATCACGCCAAAATTGAAGGAGTTTTCGAAACGGTCAACTTTCCGTATCGAGATTCTTGTGTCGCATACATAGCGAATGATATGATTGGGTCTGCTGCACACTACTATCGTTCAAAGTAAGAATGCAGTATGAGCCACCAGGCAATGCCAAATTTCCTTCGTCAAATCACGGATTTTCAAGGAAATTTGTGATTATTTCCCCTCAAATTTTTCAGCAGGATTCCGTTCGTAATTAGATCTGAAAATTTCGAGAGGAAACAGGGTATCTATTATGACTGGCGGATAAAAATACTACGGTACGGCGGGTACGGGTAAGTACTTTTACAGTACTTTCACAGTATCTTTCCAAAAAATTCAGTACCTAATAAGAAGAAAAATTCAGTACTTCTTCGGTGCCTTTAAGTTGATTGTTGATTTGAGATTCTATTACTTTATTTAGTTATATTTCTTACCAATTGTATATTTTTGAATCTTCCATAAAAATTATCCATTTGCTAGATCCAATCCTAGCTTGAGCACACTTAAACTATGCGGTCAGAACTGCAATAGCGGCAAAGTAAACCCGACAAGGTCAGCGTGGAGGCTACTTCAATATTCATCTTAGCCTTCATTATGGCCTATTCATCATCGCATTGCTAAGGCGCAACGATACAACTATTCGAACTCTCCGGAATGCGTGCGGTATCACGCCAAAATTGAAGGCGTTTTCGAAACGGTCAACTTTCGGTATCGGGATTCTTGTGTCGCATAAATAGGGCGTCCACTAAAACTGGCTGGCAAATGTCAAGTACTTTAACAGTACTTCTTCAGTACCTTTCCAAAGAATACAGTGCCTCATACGCAGAAAAATTCAATACTTTTATGATACTTTTCGGTGACTTTCAATGAAGTTCAGTGAAAATCGCGAGAGATATTGGCTTGAGGATCGACTGGTTTCACGAATACGATTGAAGGGGGAATAGGATACAGCACCAAGAATCATTGCGCGACGTAGGCTGTATTGCATATTTTCTTGGCTACTAGAAAAACACCCGTGACATGTCGAATTTTTGCAGATTCTCTGCAGTTTTCCCTGATTTCCTTGACTCCCAAAAAAATTTCCCTGCACTGGAAAAAAAAAAACCACATTGGATCTTGAGTCCAGACTCTTGAAAACATTGACAGGAAAAAGGACTCTTGATTCAGTCAGATTTAAGCTTAAATCGAAAGGAAATCCGCTCAAATTAAGAGGCTTGGTTCTTGATTTAAGCTTAAATCTGATTGAATCAAGAGTATTTTTTCTTGTCGATGTTTTTAAGAGTCTAGACTCTAGATCCAATGTGTGTTTTTTTTCCAGTGTGACATTTCCCGGTTTTCCCGATCGCTAGACACCCTGATCGTGAAATTTTTCAGCTTTGACTTGGCAACCCTGTCGGGAAGCTGAAATAAAAGCGGAACGACGGTGACAGCGACAATGAGAATTGCAATTAAGATGATGATGACGATGACTCACCGCTTCGGTGTGGATGGGGTGAACGGCGAAGAGCATGGCCGCCGCCAACCCCGCCGCCGGGGCCAGGAACATGCAGCACATCCTGTTGACAGAAAAAAAAACAAAACAGGGTGAGAAATAGTAGTCGAGAGGACGCCGGGCACTTATTAACGAGTTAAACAATTTCATAATGAGTCCAATTACACCCTCGTTCTGTCGTCATAGCCTAGAGAGGTGTGACTCAAATTTTCCACATCGAGTTTCCTTCAAAATTCGTCGAATTCTAAAAATTCTCTTCAGGGTTGCCCCAGAAATCGAAAATGAAATTCCTTGACATTTCCCTGACACATCTTGGTAAAATTCTCTGACAATTGAAGATGTGACGGATGGTTAACAAGGCATAATTGAAAATAGTTTTCAGGCAAAATTTCTTGTTCAAAATCTCAAACCCATTCTAGAAAGCAAATGGAGGTGATTTAACAAATTTTCTCTGACATTTTCGTCATTTTCCCTGACATTTTCCTAAGACGTTGCCAAAAACTCTCGGTTAGAATACACATTTTCAGGGAAATCTGAGAATATTTTCCTTCAATTTTTCAGGGCGTTTTCATCACAATCAGATCTAGATTTTTTGAAAATGTCAAGAAAAAATATTCATAAATAGCCTTAAAAATGAATAACTTATCGGGGGAAATTTGACAACTCTCGAATGCTCACGCGGCGATATTCCTTAGCAAGACAGTAGTACTGCCGTGCTAAGGAAGAACGCCATATGTACATTCGAGAGTTGCCAAATTTCCTTCCGTATAATGTTTATTTTCGAGGAAAGTTTTGAATTTTTCCTAGAAATTTTCAGGAACTTAAGGTAAAATTGCGAACCAAATTATCTGAAAAATTGGAAGGAAAAAATTCATAAGTTTACCAGGAAATTCGTGTTTTATCAATCGAAATTTGGCAACTCCTGAAGGTTCATACGGCGTTTTTCCTCAGCACGGCTGTAATAGACTCGCTTCAACGCGCGAGGCCGCGAATACTGGCATCGCTCAAATTAACCTCTGTAACGTTGCAGTTTTTACTGGCGGCGAGTAAATATTTTATTGCTTTACCGTCGGGTAATTTTATTTTCTGCTGGGGAGCGCCAGCTATGATGAATAAAGCTTCCCGCGGAGAAACCGTCTGCGGAATGGACATTTTCGCCGCTTGTTCGTCTTGCGAATCGCGCGGAAATTACGCTCGTGTAAAATACATTCGCGCGGAAATATCGTGAGTCCCGCCTTCACTCGGGCTCTTTTCGCGTCGGAAGGCTACCTGCCGCACAGTGAATCGAGTCAATAGGAGCGGTCGGACAAAATTTGGAAACTTTAAACGCTTATAACTCCGTCTATACACAACTATCATAACCTACCAAACTGACGAGACTCTTTACAAGGAGCGATAAGTCTTGGATGTGTTCCACAATCATCACAGCGACAAAAAGGTTCAGTTACCTGCGTCAAAGTTCATTTTTCGTGAGCGGGCTTTGCTGCTCTGCCGTGCTAAAGAAAAACGCCGTATGAACTTTCAGGCGTTGCCAAATTCCTCTTGATAAAACACGATTTTCCTGGTAAACTTATGAATACTTTTTTCCGAAGTTTCAAATAATTTTGTTGGCAATTTCGCCTAGAGTGCCTGAAAATGTCAGGGGAAAATAATACATAAATTTCCCAGGAAATTCGGCAACTCTCGATTGTTTATACGGCGTTTTTCCTTAGCGCGGCAGTGCCGGAATCGCGCGCGAGGAAATCGAACACCTCAATTATTCGACACTGCTCGGGCTGAAATATTGAAATTGGAGCCGAAACTACTCGCAAATCCGCAAGTTTACGCAGCTCCAAAACTGACCGGGGGAAATGGGCGGGGAGAGGGGGGAAGGAGGATTTGCGAATCGTGACAAGGATGCGGTGCCCGTGCATTGCGGGTTGCATCGGGGGATGAACGGACGAATCAAACGCCAGATAAGACTCCCGCGAGTTCCGGGCGCTGTTGCCGCGTCGACGGAGAATTATCTCGATTTTTGCGCCAAGTGCACGATTCAAAATATCCAATCCCGTGTCTACGGCTGGTTGGTGTTCTTTCGATCGGATCAACCAAAGGGACTTGGTTGATCTGTCGAGAGCAAATAGTCAAATCGAGCATTTCGTCAAATGCCTAGGCAAATAGTCAAATATTCTTACTTAAATTGAAATTTTGATATTTTACCGTAATTTCAGACAAAATAATTAGGTACTCCTGTAAGGAAGAATTCTCTGTAAAACTATGCAGCATACAATAATATTTTAAACGGTTTACAGATCCAGAATGCATATTTTTCATGGAATTTTCAGCACGTCATACAACATAAAACTTCGTAAAAAAATTTATTTATTGACATTTAAAAGTACTACAGGCATGCAAAAAGGAAGGAACAAGGGGAGTTTGCGGGTTTGAAGAGTTATCCTTCCTAGCCTAAAAATTGAAGCGGATTTTCTTTTGATTCAAGCAAAACTCCAATTGAATCAAGAGTATTTCTTCTTGTCAAATTTTTTACGAGTCTGAACTCCGAATCCAAGAGACTTATTTGCAGTGTCCGTGTAAAAGTGACGTGAGACGATCTTCCGTCGCAGTCTAGAAGAGCGTATAAACTTACTTGGCAAGAACTCCACAGTATCAGTGCTCCCATTTCTCCGAACTACTATCGAATTTCGGAACTTTTGAGATTATCCTGAATTTTTCCCGGAACTTTTAGAATTCCCAAAATGTTCCGGATCTTTTTCATTTTCCGGAACTTTCTCAGAACTTCGAAAAAAATCTAAAAGGAGTCCCGGAACTTTTGACGGTCATGTAGTGGGAGAAATTGGAACCAAAAAGTTCCGAATCCTGGAACTTTTGACAGACATAGAATGGGAGTACTCCACAATGTTTCCTACTCGCGATTTTCCGTTGGACTCGGCAACGTTGGAGAGCGAGTTCCACTGTTTACAATCTCGTCACGTATCTATTACATTACGCCACTTCCTCCGCGAAATCCCCCGAACTCTTCGGACACTCGCCCAAGGGTTGCCGCGCGGGGCGCCGATAACTTTCCACCAAGGGCTTGACCCGCCTCCCCCTCCCGCGCCGCCGGCGGGACGTGAAAAATTGCCCCGTCACACAGTCCATCAGATGGGTCGGCCATAAAACTCTTGACTAAAACTTCAAATTTTGACGTTTATTTCGTCACATTTTATATTCTAAGAGCTGTTTTTGAAAGAAAATTTCACGAGAAAACCAATGGAGCCACTTTTAGAACCTCTGAGTTTTGTATGAGCGGAGTTATAAACGTTTAAAGTTTCCGGATTTTGTCCGACCTCTCCTACTGAATCGGTCCACTGTGCGTCACCCCTTCCTCGTCCTTCCGAATACGTATCTTGAGATCTTTTACTACCGTCTCCTGAATTGGACGAAAGACCGTCTCGGCTGTTACGACCTGCCCTAACGTGACGAGCAAACGTTATAATTATCCTAGCTCTTCTGACCTAAGGGCGTATCTCGATTCCAGGGTGTCTCCCAGTTACTAAAAACCATAATTGGGGACTTTCGGGGACTTTTAAGGGAGTTTTTTCGAGAAAATCGGGGACTTTTTCCCCCGAAATACTAAGAGATAGGGAGCTAGTTAGAGCGTTAAAAGGCGTATTTTATATAATTAATTTTACAAGTCATGTAGAACCGATGAAAACATACGAAAAACGAAGCAACACTTACGGTTTTTTGCTTTCGGTTATACCGCGCCGCTGCGGCTGGCGGGAAAATTTGAAAATGCCGGTGTTGAGGACGATTTTTGTTGGTTTTTGGGGGGCCGGAACAAGAAAATTGAGGACTTTCGGGGATACTAGGGGATATTGGGGACTTTTGGGGACCGGTGGACACCCTGCCGACGGTAAAATGACTTTACAGAAGGTAGATTTCAGACTTTTCTAATGTTTCCATTATAATTTTTATGATATTTCATCCGTTATAAATCTATCCACGGGGCTGTATCCCTTGCATACAAGAGACCAAACCCTCCCTCCTCGACCGCAGCGGTCATCCGGCAAAGGCGCTCGGAACTTGTAAAGCTGTCCGAAACGCGGCGGCCGGCGTTTTGTCGTCCCCGGAGATAATCTGCTTACAAGGCGACCGACAGCGACAGGGCTCATAAGTAGCCTGCCACTCGCCGGATTCACTCGCGCACTTACACCCCCCT